TTGCAGGCTGGCAGCATTCCAGCCTGCAAGGGGCTGCTAGTAGCTGGAGGCAGGGGGTGCCATGCACATGTGCAGGCCCATACGCAGGCACGTGAGTGGTAACATTGCCAAGCAGCCTGGAAAGCAGCTCCCTGCAGGTAAGTCTATGGATCGGGGAGAGGGTATAGGAGGGGCAGAAGGCAAAATAAGGGAGTGGGACAGGGGCTGAGGGTGCTGCATAGCCAGGGCAGTGCATGGGGCTGGGACATGGTGTGGAATGGAGCCATGGGCAGCTCATCCACCGGGCAGGGGGCATGGGCAGCTGCAAGCTCAGGGCTCCCCACCCTGTTGCTCTGCCTCAGGAGGCCCTGCACTGGCCATGCTGTCATGGTGAGGCACCCCTGCCCACCCAGCAGCAGCAGCATGGAGTTATGCCCTCTGCTGTTGCCATGTGGGCAGGGGTCACATGGCCAGCACAGGGCTCCTGGGGGAAAGGCAGCAGGGCAGGGAGCCCTGAGACTGCAGTGGGCAGCCTGCGTCCACCCCACACTTGGCTCTAGTCCAGCTGTGCTGCTGCCAGCAGCACGGGGGTGGGGGTGGGGGTGGGGGGGAGGTAGGCATGTATCCCATCTTCTCCTTTTGAAAAGGCGGTCACCTATTGGCAACCCTGGTGTGAGTGACGTGTCACTTCATTCCTTGGGCAGTGGCCAGCACAGCACTAGGTCTGTTTATGACCTGCCTGGTAGGTCAGCTTAGAGGATTTGTGAGGGGATTTTCTGCTTCCACATCCATTTCTACATGTTCAGCTTGTGGAAAAGGTGCTTAAGAGGGGACATAATAGCAGTCTTCAAATACTTGAAGGGCTGCCATAAAGAAGAGGGAAAGCACATTTTCTTTCTTGCTGCAGAGAGAAGGACGTGGACCAATGGCTTGAAGATGCAGCAAAGTTTGGATTGGATCTCCAGGAAAAACTACTTCACTGTTAGAACATTGAGGCAGTAGAATAAACTGCTTAGGGAAGTTGTGGACTCTCCCTCATGGGACGTGTTCAAGAAGAGTTTGGACAACTACTGGTGGGGATGATCCAGGTGTAGCTATGCCTGTGTTCTACCATCAGTATTTCATAGTTTCATAGTTGGTAGGGTCAGAAGGGACCTAAGCAGATCATCTAGTCCGACCCCTGCCATGGGCAGGAAATGATGCTGGGGTCAAATGACCCTGGCTAGGTGGCTGTCTAACTCTTTGCCATCTCATCTTGGCCTCAGGACCCCTGCTGTCCTTTCTTCATAGTGTCTGGACCAACTTGAACATAAAGATGGGACAGTGCCTCCAGCCCAACCTAGCCTAAAAGCTGCTAGTTATTGCTTCTGGACTTTGCTGGCTGTGCTCCCCGCAGTCCTTTTCTGCTACATGTGTCAGGGTGTTCTTAAGTTAGAATCATTGGGTGTTGGCTATAGTTAAGGCTGGGGACTTAGACTGGGATGTGCCAATACTCCTGCTGGGACCAAAGCTCGAGGTTCCCAGCTAGAGGGTCTTGCCATTCTGCTCAGGGTCAGACCAATCACTATATTTGAAGTTCGGAAGGAATTTAACCAAATGGTAAGACTGGTACAGACTGTAGGGGTTTTTGTCTTCCTCTGTAGCAGGGGTCATGGCCCTTTACTCCTCTTGAGTGTATCTTGACAACACGTTATAGAACCAGGATGTTGACTACTGTGGTTCTCCTGCCTTACCTGTGGCAGGTTAGGATGTTAGGTCTATGTTGCTAGGGTTAATGGTGGTCTAAGAGTTTAAATTATGGCTGTACGGGATGGTTTGAACAGGGATGATCCTGCCTCAGGCTAGATGACCTCTGGAGATCCCTTCCAGCTCTACCTTTCTATGACTTTATGAATCTATAGCTCCTCTTGCACAGCACAGGGACCTCTTACAGGACACTTTCATATTACTAGGGCTCCAAGGTGCAAAGATGCCACGCCAAACCCTAGACCCTGGCCTATACTTCAGTTGGTGCCCTGCAAGCGTTTCTAAGGCACTTATTTTTGTTGTTGTTTTTTTTGTTCTGATGGTATGATGTGGTGTGTGCTTGCAGTTTGGCCATTCACACTATATAAAGGAGGGTGTCTGTGCCTTTTCCATGGCTCAGGAGCCTATGTGCCAAGTTATTAAACAAAAAGGAAGCGAGGTTGCCTGCCTTCAAATTAAATGGTCTCAATGTCAATATGAGAGGAGGCTTGAGAGTTTTTTTCCAGCTGACACAACAAACTCAGATGGGCTCCAGAGCCCACCTGATCAGAAGAGGGGGAGGAAGGGGCCAAGTGGGGTCCACAGGGGGCTAAATATAGCCCAGTGCTGTGGGTAGGCAGGTTATAGGAAAAGAGTAGCTTTGGGGCTGGGGTTAGTGGCTGGACTGGAAACTGTACATAAAGTTCAATTAGATCAGTCTCATCTGACCTGATGATGTAAATTATATTACCACCAAGGTACAGCTAACTTGGATTGGGCCTGCCATTTTCAGACTGATCTAAACTTCCTGAACTTGTTTAGCTTTTGCACTTCGATCTCTAGTTAGGTCAATCTAAGTGTGAGGTCTGCACCTGGGCAAACTAAGCTAGATGGGGTAGCATTTTTTAATGCCATCTAAGATCCTTCTAACTGCCCCAAATGTTTGTACCTAGCCTAAATGAAGCAGTTGACTAGCTGACACTTTCCAAATGTGTGTCTATTCAACTTAACCCCAGGCCAGAGAACCAAGAAGCAACTTTCCTTTTGAATTATATCTCATGTTATAGTAAAAACTCTGCAAAACTTGGGAACCTCTTCACTTTCAAAGACTAAATTTAGGAAAACTGGTTCCAGAACAGCAAACATGTGGTATTAATTATGTGAACAGTCTCCTGTTTTGCCAATTTGATTTGAGCAGAAATGGAAATAGGAAAACTGTCTTTCAGCTAAATGGTTAGCATTCTGTCAACTTTCAGCAGCGATGCTCAAGTGTTTTGAACATCAGATCCTTTTCTGAAGAGATTTTAAAATAGAAGGCCGAACTCGAAGACACTTTTAAAGGAATGTCCTTAAACTGGAGTTATTGCTAGCTGCGGCAGCATAGACCCCAATATGGGCTCATTTATGCTACTAAGGTAGATTCTGTAGTACATGTTATGTTCCATGCTGCCAGTTAGACTGCTACCAGTATACAGGGTAGTTAGTTTGAAACTATCTCAGTGATGTATACAGTATACCAGAGTGACTCTAGACGCCCTTAGGTAAAAGTATTAGATATTTATTAAAGTTGTGGCGGGTGCAGAGATCCCACCTCAGGAACACAGCTGGGTATTCGTACCCCTCCGCTGTTTCCACCACGTGAGGTGGGCCAGTAGGGGGCGCTCCTGCGTTGAGCCGCCCACCTCCCTGCACCCGACCACCT